CCTTGCAATTGTGTCTTGTTGTCCATTTTCTGAACGTTGCAAGCAAGCTAGAGTTGGCATATTGGGCGGTTTTTTAATGCGTGTGTTGGCAGACAAGGGGATGGCATCTAGGCCAGGAAATAGCTCATTCTATCAGTCGTGTCTCTTTTGTCCATTTTCTGAAATTTACAATCAGACAAGATTTGGCATATTGGAGGGTTTTTTAATGACAAGGGGATGGCATCTAGGCCAGGAAAAAGCTCATTGTATCAGCATGTCTCTTGTTGTCCATTTTCTAAAGGTTGCACGCAAGCTAGAGTTGGCATGTTTGAGGGTCTAGTTCCGTATCCACCCACATTGTCCAAAAGATTAAGTAGCGAACTGGGCACATTGTAGGCGGTAAAATGGTGTGCGCTGGAGCGTGTAGTGCACAAAAAGGTACTTGACTTTTACATTTGATGTGTTCAGACCAAGCGGAAAATGGTTTGAAGTGGTGAATGCGGTACAAATTGATACCATGCATCACTCGTGGGCCATACAAAAGACACGAATTCCTGGAAGAGCTTTGCTTTTAATGTGGAAAAGAAGGAAGGTCATGGCTCAATCTGGATCTTCCAAAATTTGTACAAAAAAAATTCAAAAAGTTCTATGTATTTTAGCTCTCTATATAGAAGTATAACACTGTTTCCAAAATGAACGATGAATGGTTATTCAAAATAAAACCATCAAAAAATTATTCTGATCCTTCAGCGTGCTTTTAGATATACTTTTATTTACGTATGTGTGGTAACATTCCAAATTTTCCCCAGGTAAAAGCAAGTCATGTTGGCCTATCCCAAGCGGCCCATAAAAAGCTAGGCACGTGTATTACAGATAGAACACCATAAAGACCTATCTAAAAGAGACTCTAAATCGTTTATGTATAGCTCTAGTCTCTCCTTTGTTAAATCGGCGTGTCACAACACAATATTGTGAGTGCTGCTTCATATCATATACGTGATAGGACACTCGACAAAAATATAGGTTATAAACGTTTATTGTTACCGCATGGTCCTAGTGAGACTTTCATATCGTGGATTGGAGCTTGATTCAGTTTTACTAGGCACACGTTTTGTTACAACATTTTCAGTGTTTTTTTAATGCTTTTATTCACAACATTGCAAAGACACATACAGTGTAGTGCACAGAACAGGTAAAGTACAATTGTGGTGATTGATAATTAAAAGGCTTTCAAAGCCGAAGACATCAAGGAAATTTTAGTTACATGACAATAAAAGTGTTAATAGAGACATCCCAATAGTGGGCTTAGTTAAAATACTATTATTCGGTCAAAATACTAAAGTCGAAAGTTATTTACAAAATCCCTTTTACATAAGTATAAAGGTATTCAAGTTTGCTCATCAGGACATGGTTAGGATGCTTACATCTGTACAAAGCTATAATCTAAGTAGTAGTTCATTTTCAGTGTTGTAAATAAAGAAAGTATTACATATTGTCTGGATTAACTGAACGCCAATATGGTCGTATTACGCCACATTACAACTTAATTCAGTTTTACTATGCACACTTTTGTCAGTGTTGTAAATAAAGAAAGTATTACATTTTGTATGGATAAACTGAACACCAATATGGCCGTATTATGCCACAAACCGTACGTCGTTTGGGAATGTAAAGCCCAAATACCGTGCCTAACAACCACCCCTGGGACATGGTTGTCTTACATAAAGGAGGTCTCCAGGGGCTGAAGTATTGTCGCTCTTACGACACAGCTGTGGTCTGGATGAGCCGCATAGATCATCTTTTGCAATCATTCATGAAAATCGTTCCAGGGCGATGGTCTGAGATACTGATTTATGTCCGGAGTAAAAAAGAAGAAATAATCAAAACGAGTTTCTGTATGATCCAGATCTATGTATACTTACTTTACTTACGTATGTATACTTATATGTATAATATACCATAATCTGAAACCATTTCAGGATCTTGTCAGGATATTTCCTTTGTTACATTCAGTTCTTTACATGTGTCAGCATTACCTATTAAGTAAGTATTTAATTATCTGCAGTAATACTACTCCACTTTTGCTTTATAAACTATAGTTACAGACGTTTATAATATGAAATATCTATATATTGAGTACTGGTATTAGAGAGAGAAGAATTAGCTTCACAGTACACGGCTAAGGCTCAGAGATCAAACATGTTTCCAGTAGCAAAGAAAGTTTAGTTTCTTGAATTGACAAAAGTAGTGTTAAGCATGACCAAAAAGTTGATGTTAGGACATTCGAATCAACTACCAATTTGGCAATGATGCTTTGAATGGGTTTGATTTGATAGATTTTCTGCCATGTTGCACTCAGAAACCCATCACCGTCACAACCACGCACCTTCAGATGTTTAGCGTTGGTAAAGTATATTTTATTTCTCACAGATGCTTTTAGTTGAGTGCAGGTCTGAGAAGTAGCTAGTTCCGTGTTCTGATTACGTTCAAGTTGAACTCTTGGAGAATAATGCATCGTATGAATCATAGAGAACATCAGGTATGTCTGTGGATATGGCCACAGCACGTAAATCTTATGGATAACATCCTCCTCAAATTGCAAATCTAATGCGATAGGGTGAAAAAACAAGGTTCCTACATTTTCAAATTTGACACCATAAACCTTGTATAAAAACAAGAAATGTTAAACTATATTGTGCTACGTTTCCTGCCAACTATTACAACATCCATTTGTCACTGAAAAATAAAAGTTTTCAATCATTGTACAAGTGGTTTTGATTATTTGTATTTATTTGCCAGCCACGTTTCCACATTGCAGCAGACATCTTTGCCCATTTTCGGCATGTTGATTACTTTCAGAAGGGAAGAAAAATTCTCGTCCCCCCCCCCAAATCAGGGAAAATTAATGCGCGCGCTAATGTCATCCATAAAATTTACTTGCTGTGGCCTGATGGCTTCTCCATTGTGTGCGACTTTCAGGAGGAGTTAGCGTGTGGTGCCTCGTGACTCTCTTCTGTGGAGGGGGAGCTGCAAAAAATCATCACATCTATAAAGGTAGGAATTAGTGGTGGCGAAACTCAGAAGCAAGTTACATGAAACTGAGTTTCTCCTGAGTGTGATCCACTGGTAATGTAAAAAATAAATGAAATAAATATTTGTGTGGAGAGCGTTCCTATTAAACAAGGCCAACAACTTAATTGCAAACCATTGGCCGAGACGAGCCTGTTTCATCCAGAATCATGCTTTATCCAGAACCCTGTTCAGGCACGGTTATGGATAGTTCACGACTTCACGTGTATTCAGAACAGTGCTGTGGACACATGTACCTTTTTGAATACCCGGAGAATTTCCATAACCGTCCTTTAATAATTTCATCAGACTGGTTAATGATTGAATTGCGTAGAAAGATCTTAAGACTTTTGCTATTTAATTTATATCCAAAACACAGTCTGATCCAAACCCATTTATACACAGAACTAGATTATCACGGTTCTGGTACGACAGCGTTAGGGCAAGGTAAAGTGATGAAATCACATGGTTAAGAAGACAAGTGGTTTTACTTTAAGTGTTTTGTAACGAGCAGCTTCTAATGGGTAAAGGAGGTCGATCATTACATGTACGTACTTGTCAGAATCTAAAACGTGTCACTTGTCACATGTACCTTCTGTACCCTTGTTATTTCTACATCACAAGTCTAAAGCGTTCCACTTGTCACATGTAACTTCTGTACGTGCCATCACCTGCAGTGCTCTTGTGCTCTCTACATCCCACATCGCACGTGCACCCTTTTTGTCTTCCATGCTGAGTAGAAACGTGGCCGGAAGTTCAAGGGAACCTGCTTAGCACGTGCATGTGTGAGTAACGTCACTCAAACCTCATGCGTCCCAATGGGGCGTTTGGACCCCGGCTGAATGTACGTCTAGTTCACGTGCCGTTTTGACATTGACATTGCTTGTAGGACAAGTTCATATCGTAAGTTTCTTCGTATACACCTTTGAATTCTGCTGGATTTTAGGATCAGGTCCTTGGTTTTGAGGTTATTTTCTAAACACCAACCAGATTCCCTGGGTGGCGGCAATACAGTAATTTAGTAAAACAGAATCCAATTGGAAAGCTACTGTCCAATACGCCACCCAAGGGACAGCAAATGTTGACAGGCTGCCACTATGCTCCCCTTGCCCCACAGAATCTGCTTGGAGATTGGTTATTTTCTACAGTTTGGGTCCATTTGGAATATTTTGCGTATATGTGTGCATTTTGCATCACACAACAGTCTTTGGTTGCCGCCATTAAATCTTCCTGGTCACAAATTATTGTTTTTTTCATGAATAAAATTTGCTTCTTTTTCTACCAAGGCCTTCGATCTTCTTCGTGCCCTTATAATGCACAGTGAGAAGCAACGATCAGGCTAATTTGTGTCAATCATGAATAGATAAACGTGCAACACAAATCTCTCAATGACATCATTGAGCTTGTTTATACAGATCTATTTAAGACTCCTTGACGGAGTGATTAGTTCTTTATTGATGAAACTCGAGATGTCAGGAAACACGGCCCATCTCCGGATCTTTGTTTAGCTTCTGACGTCAATTTCGACCCAAAGAAGGCGACGCCTCTTCCTTAGCAACCTTAATGAGTCACGCAGACGTTCAACCAATAAGAGCATCGCACCCATGTGACGTCACGCACACGTTCAACCAATCAGATTGCCGCGCCAGTGTGACGTTGCCGACACGTGACGATGATGTAGGCGGGAAACAGGTATGAAAGAGGACGACTGGCAAACCGAGGAGTCAAACCGAAGCTGAGTACGTCACGCACGCGTTCGACCAATCAGAGCGCCGCATCTGTGTGACGTCACGCACGCGTTCAACCAATCAGAGCGCCGCGCCAGTGTGACGTTGCCGACACGTGCTCGATGATGTAGGCGGGAAAAGGGTATGAAAGAGGAGGACTGGCAAGCCGATGAGTTAAACCGAAGCTGCCACGCACGACGAGCACGAGACCGCCTCCTGTTCCTGTTTCTGAACCCGGCATCTCCGTGAGAACGGCACCCATAGTCACCATGAACACCCTCTGCTGCCTGACGATCCTCCTAGCGGCTGTCGTCTCTTCACAGGCGCTGCCGATGGCCGACTACCACTACGAAGAAGAGGTATGATGGTGTTCTACTTTTCTGGTGTACAGTTAGGCTGCCCGAGCCAAAAGCTAGAACTATTGGCTGTCCGACTGGCCAAAACCTGTAGCTGTGGCGTAGCTCTTTATAATTTAGTGTAACGCTGATAGGTTTGACTGCTTGGCCCGAAAGCACTACGAAGAAGAGGTACGATGATGTTCTACTTATTTTATCCGTTATTGGCTGGTATACAGTAAGGCTGCTCGAGACATAATATATAACTATGGGCTGTCCGGCTGGCCAAAAGCTTAAGAGCCAAAAACTTAAAAGTGTAAACGCTGATAGGAGGTTTGACTGCTAGGCCCGAAAATACTACGAAGAAGAGGTGCGATGATGTTCTACTTATTTTATCCGTTATTGGCTGGTGTACAGTTAGGCTTCACGAGTACCCAAAATCTATAACTATAGACCATAAACTATAGGCTACCCCGTAAGTGTAACGTATGAGGTTTGGCCTCAAGACCCGAAACGTACCGTTACGTTTACCAATAGTAGCCAGGTAAGTCTCCCCTTATGCACCGGACAGGTAAACTCACCAGTAGCAGTACCAAAAGTAATGTGAAGGACACCGATTACTAAGCTATGAATGTTGGATAGCTCCAGAGAATGGTTCTTAAGTCTACCGAATAAGAGGACATTTTCTTTACAGAAAAAGTATTGCAAATTAAAAAAATCCATCGCGATCTGTGCTCACATTTCTAACTTGTAAAATCTATCTTTGACGCAACAGCAATCAGTAAATAGAACAGTGCCGTGCGGGCTAACTGATGATGAGAAGATTTTGTACGGACGCCTCATGCTACCATTTTAGCGTTATCAACTGAACATGGCAAAACATCGCATAAACCATCACTGGACAGTTTTGGTTTCCACGAACTAGTAAAATCCCGAAATAACATATGGTGGTGTCCTTGATGACGATGACAACATACTAGTAGTACAAATGATCATTGAAGATGAATCGTATTCATTTTTGTCATTAATAAGGCCCATTATACGTGCACTATACGTGCATGATTATGAAGGTCTTACATATAAATATAGTATCAGCTCAGACCTATGAAAAGAAATGTTGCTTTTCCCGACCGACCCTAGTAAAAACCCACCGACTCCAACATTTTTGGGTCAACCACTGGCAAGATCCGACTTTAGGGATAATTTGGCATCTTAATTTTAAAGCATCTGAAGCGATAATTTAGGGATTATCAAAAGCAGCATTTTATTGCGTAAATTTGACCAAAAATTTGTCCCAGCCCCAGAAGCAAACGAAGGGATTGCTCCCGGAGACAGATAAAGTTTAAAAAAACGAAAATAGTTAAAAAAACCTACTGTCTCTCTTGTCTAGTTTTTCCTCTTTTTTGATTTTGTTATACCCCAATTAAAAACGGGCCCTGATCTTGATATATTGCTTGTTCCAGTTTTTGCATTATTGACCTGTCTTCATTTTTGCCTGGGCCTCATCAGAGAGGATGATGCTGGCACTTCGTTGTAATGGGCCGTCTCGTTAGCTAATATGCAAAAATTGTACATCCGTTGTTCAAAGCAGATCAGAGCTCAGCACGACAGCGCACGCGACTTGTCAAGCGCCGTCGACCTGTCCATAACATCACGCATTTAATTTGCGGGCCCAGAACCATTTGTTAGATGTAGAATTGATGAGACAAGCTCCTGTGAAGTTGCCGCTCTTCCACGGTGGTAAAATTCTCAGCAGCGGTCCTTCTCTTTTCTGCCGGCGATGCGGATGTCACACACAGAGCTTTAGACGTAGATATTTAATAATCTCCGAGCAGATCTTTCAGTGGCAAGACAGTATCCATTGGCCAGAGGAGTCACCATTAGCCACCGAAGTGCTAATGGACACTCCTCTGGCCAATGGATACTGTCTTGTCACCGAAAGATCTGCTTGGCGATTATCTTCGAGATTATATTCGGTGGCTAATGGACACTCCTGTGGCCAATGGATACTGTGTTGCCACCGACAGATCTGCTTGGAGATTAGATATATAAACCAATATTCACGCGTGCATGTACATAAATCTGGAACGTTCCAAGCCTTAAGCACAATCTACCACAGCTTTGGTGTAATTAGCGTACTTCAAAGGGCAGATGTTAGTGGCACTTAGGGCCAATCAACCCATCACAGCAAGCGGCAGCTCCAGGCATTCAGCTTCCCAACAGTCTAGAATTAGACCTCGAATTAATCCGCCAAGCAGTGTCAGTGTTCTACGTGTTTTAGTTTTGCATTTTTTCAGGAAGAGGAAAATCATGGCAGTAATACAACAATACTACTCGTACAAAACTCTTCCAGCCGCCTCCTGAAGCCTGGTAGAGGCTGCTTAATTACGTCCGGGAAGGATCTGTAGAAGACTCTTTGCTTAAATCCCTGCCAGATTGCCGACAAAAGGCCTGAGTGGAAAACTCTGATTGCCTCCGGAACTGCCACTTTAATGGGAGGCTTCACAAACTAGAGACGGAAGGCTCGGCTTGGCAGGATCGGATCTGAAAGGATTTATAGATCCGCCTGGATCGTGGAGGACAGAAATAAGCAGGAAATTGCGATAATTCAGAATGTAATTAAGGACAAGATGGCAATGGAACACATTCTCTGGCAGTTGGAGACCACAATGATGATTCAGTCGGTGTAAGCTTAAGATAGGGAAATATATTTCGACCATGCTTCTTCCCCCATCTTTTTTACATTTCTTCTGGTCTCCGCTTTTTGAGTTTGATGTATCTTTGACTGTACAATGATTTTCCGAAGAACAAAACGATCAAATAAACTATTTTGTGTTGAGATCACATAAAGAGATGACTTCACAGACCGTGTTTCAAATTCATTTTCTTTCTTCGTTGGAAAACAATCTTTAATCTCGCGGAACACAAGAAATTGGGTCAAATTTCATTTTCAGCAATTTGTTTTCAAGATGCCGACTCATATCAAATATGTCTTACGTGCTACAAGCGTCGATGTATAGCTTGCTATCAACGTGGACAGATCTTACATCTTAGCTGTAGCTTTTTGTGTCATCGGTTTTAAAACAACACACACGCAGAATCAAAACGTATACAAACCTATTTTCTGCCGAGGTGGTACAAAGAATGCACAGTTGAACAAATAAAATTTGAAAACAACTTTTATGCCAGCATTTGATACCGTCATTTATTTTATTTTCCACACCAACCTTCACATTCCAATGAGACAAGAAGGTGGGTTTAATTTGGTTTGATTTGATTTGATTTCCAAGAAACAAAATCAGATCAAAGCAAGGTTCAATAAACGCACTTATCGGCACAAGCGTGGCTTCTGATTAAAGTTATGAAACGCCTGTGGGTGTCAGATGTGCCCATTTATGTAAGATATCAGTCTTATCAGAGGGTTATTGACATTAGGCTAGAATTCATGAACGGTTTGGCCATTTGGGTGTTCTGTCCACTCTTTAACAGCTCTGGAGAATTCACGTCTTTCTCACAGTTGCGGCAAACTGTACTCTGTAGCCCACTAGCCTCTACCAGGCTTCGGAAGGTGGCATTGGAAAGAGTAGACATCGGCCAAATAGAGAGCTAACATGCCAGGGGCATTGGTCCGCTGGATAGATGCATTGCCTCAAATTCAAATGACTAGTTACTTGTAACATCGACAAAACAACGTTTCACCATCAAAAATATTACATTTACATGTTGGTCAAAATAGGTAAAAAAACATTCATTATTTTCCTAAATGTTTTTTTCCGGCCAGTAAAATTATATGCGTCATATAGTGAAAAAATAAATGCAGTAATAAACATGTGTAAGTACCTGCAAATTGTTGCGTCAGGAACCCCATGATGTATCATCAATGATTCACGTCACGCGTTTAAAAAAGAATATGGCTATGAAATAATTTAAAGTGTTCCTTTTAACGTTGGTAACAAAAAAGTATTTAGTAGAGACGAACCAAGCACAGAAAGCAAGAAAGCAACCGAGAACTACTAGTGACGGACAGCAAAACTGAACCGAGAGCCCCATAACCTCCCCCCCCCCCAACTGTAGCTTATTTTGAACGGTTGTTTCTTATGTTATGAACTGCTCATCAGAGCATGGACCCATTTTTCTGCAATTTCGCAATCTTGACATAAAATCTATATTATAAAATATGAGAAAAGCATCTTGTACATTTTCTCTGCATAAAGCTTATAGATATAAGGGTTTATGTTACTGTGTTTATGCCCTAAATCCTGCATCCCCAGGATATTGGTGTGTCCGTAATCATGCTCTGATTTACTATTATAATCCCTTGTACTGCCAAACCTTTACGGTACGGCGAATATTTCATAAAGGCACATTTACCAGTAACTACCGATTGTAGTTTACTGGTTCCATAAAAGGGGTGTACCCGGGAGCGGTTTCAATGGTCCGTTTCCATTGAGGCTGCGACGACAGCTCTAATAAACAGTAAGGTGGATATTTCATAAAAACACATCTACCTGTAACACTAACTACCGATTGTATTTCACTGGGTCCATTCAAGGGGCGTACCCGGGAGCGGTTGTGTTCATTTTGCGCCTTCAATGGTTCATTCTCATTGAGGCTGTGACCACATCTATAATGAACAGCACACACGAATTTCACTGATAAAATTGTACATTATGTAGGTTTTCAATCAATCAAACTGCAAATATCAGGGTAGATGTATGGCGGCTGCAGACATGTCCCTCCAGGATGTTCTGTTTTCTGCCAGCGCTCTCCAGTCAGTTCTGCTGACCCCTAAACTGTCCAACACGTTGAAAACCTGGTCCTCCCATCTGCTCTTGGGACGGCCTCTAGGGCGCCTCCAAGTTGGTTCTGGAGCTGAGCTTTTGCGTGTTCTGTTTATATTTTTACATCTTGTCTCATAATCCTAATCCTAATCATAAAGCCATGTATCCTAGTTTGATATCCATATGGTTTCGGTCCAGCGGATAGTAGGGCCTTATAGCAACTGTAATATCCACAATACTAAA